TTTACATTCATGTAACTTGTTATCAACAAATCACACGTCGTGCTATTCTGAGATTTGCTTTTGCAGCACACTGCATTGCATGCTGCACACGGGTGCATCCCACTAGTTTGCTACATGGAATAGGGATGGTTCCATGCATGAGCAAATCCACCATGCTTCCTCACAGCCCGCAAAAAACACACCGGCAAAGCGTCGTCTGCTCAGCAAAGCATGCCTGGCCTACCCTGCCAACTGCAGGAGGTTGAGTGTCTCTTAAAAAGTACAGTGCGGGTTCTTGGGGTTCCCCAATCGGGTGGGACAAATTGAGCCCTTCCTTGGAGCGCACTGGGTGCACAGTGAGTTTCTGGCGGTACGTGTCGCTACACAATCATAGAAACCTGCGGGAAATTGGCGAAAACAAGCCCAAACAACAATGTTCTGCATATGCTGTGCTTGGTTTCTTAGACACAAACGGGGGGCTAAACAGTTTCTAACAAACTGGTTCTAGCTGCCCCTGCAACAATGTGTGCATTTGTGATGACTCGAATAGTATACCTGGACGTCCCCTTGATATGGTTGATCTTCGTTGAGATTTCATTCCAAGGCCAACCAAAAGGAGCCCTCGTATTTAGCCCCCCACCCCCACCCCAACCCATTCAGAGCCTGTTGGAGCCCATCTGAATGCATCGAACAGCATTGCTGGCCATGAACTCCCTGTGCGGCGCTGGCTTTCCTTTTCTAGCGCGCCGATGCAAACGAATCTGTCTGGAATTCGGGGTTGCCTGATAAGCAAAGAACCCGGTGAAGGGGGCAACCTAACCCCCATGCGGTCAGAACTATATGTTCCACCAAGCGGACTTGGGACATTTAGTGAGCCCCTCGGTTCTGGGGAAATTTAGTGAGTTCCCTCCTCTCGTCCTTCCCAAATAAACCATAGACGAGTCGACCTCATTTTAGCAGCGCCCAAAACCCATTGCATTGACTATGGTTATGGATATATGAGTATACACCTCCATGAAACCAGGTAGTAGAACCGCCTACCCAACCTGGCTCGGTTGGGGGCATGAGACTTGGTTCAAGCTTCACAAGTTGTTCACCTTTACCCCTTACCCAGGCTTGATCATGGCGTTGTGTCAGCTCTGGGCTCCAGCCTGTTTGTTCAAACAAAGGAACTTGGTCCTTTCGAGTGCGGGTTAGGCTAACTCCCGGGAGTTCAGAAAGGTGTCGACAGCACGGAGGTCCGCAACAGTAGTCCGGCATAAGCGGATCGGATTGCAATGCTCCATGCAACTGTGCGACACAGGGGACACTGGTCCAAAAAAAACCTGAAACTTGAGAACCTGTACCCAAAGTAAGGGGAAAAAGGTTGTTTGGCGGCGAGTTGAAAAATACCTACGGTTGTAGAAGCAATTCATGTATCATGAAGGGACCCTCTCCCCGCTAGAAGGCTGAGGATCGACCCATGAGCCCCCATCCGTTCACAAGCAGTGCAACACCGAAAGGTTTCACAAGCCAAAGGCAGCTGCTTGTTCGTCCTGGAACCCTTTCAGAATGGCCTACGTGTTTGCTTAAATGCCGCACATAAACGGGTTTGACATATTGCCATTAAGAACACAACATACTGTGGACGGACAAAATCCTGCACCCTAAGAAACCCTGAAATGGTGATTCCTCTGTAAATACCAACAAACACTGGTTTCCCATGGTTTCAACTCGGTGCAGGATTTCGTCCAGCCACAGTATGGCCTAATTCTCATGATCCCGAGATAAGGCAGCCCTCTAAACGGAGCCTTATGACGTCGGCCCTCACCACAGACCTCGCCATGTCTTGACTTCAGCGACCTCTCCGGGGCATCGACTCCGCGGCCTCTCAAAAGGCATCTTCCGTCATCAGACCAAAGCCGTGCAATCTGAATGGAGCAGCCCAAAACGGGGGGTATTGGAGCTGGAAATAGAAACCACTCCAAGAAGCTGACATAAAGGGATCCCCTATAAGGATTTGGAGCTACAAATAGAACAACTCCAACAAACAGACGAACAAAGGGATCCCCGGGATACTAAGGATTTGTGTAAGGGGCGTGTCCTAAACTAGGCAGGCTGGAAGGTCAAACAGGGATTAGCTTGTGGAGTTTGATCCTTCAGGAAACAACACATCTCAAGCGTACTGGTCAGAGAGGACGGACGAAGCTGCCAGTGGGGCACAACCTGAGACTTCTTCTCAGCTGAGCAGATGCAGTCTGATGGGTTCAAGTGCTACCGCGACCCCAGAAGAGTGCAATATTACTTCGTTGCAGCCCAAAGACAAGCTATGTGGATAGCTATATATGATTTCATGTTCTGTCATCGCGATACCGAGTATTCTTCATTTTGTGCGTTCCGCACAACGTCTTCCATGTCGACAGCTCTGCTCAGCCTGCCGCGAAATTTCTCGCCCGACGTACAGCCTGTTTCCCACGACTCGATCCATCAGAAGCGGGTCTCGGGCAGCAGATCCATCGGATCGGCTTGAAGGCATGTACAGTCCAGCTGGCGGCAATTGGCAGCACGCCGCGAAGTTTGGATCTCTGACTCGAAACGCTTCTGCTTGGTATCGTGATGAGAATTTACCTGTCAACCGAAAACTGCAAACTGGGAAACTAGACAAGTGGTTGGAGCTTGGCGCAATTCTGCGGCCCTTGGGTCGCAAACAACCTGAGTATTGGAGCGACACGAAGCCTAATCCTCCAACCCGCCCCCCGGGTTGGGTGACCGCCTACTACATGGGTTGGCATGCCAAGATCTCCCAAGGTCGGCTGTCAAAAGCTCATGGAGAAAAAGAGATCGGGGATGACGCGGAACTGCTTGGCTCACCTCACCCTTTTCTTCTCCCCTGCCGGCTGTTTGCTTACACATGTATAGAAAATGCTTTGGAGCCACAGATCAAAGGAGGTGAAAGCCCAGCCCTTCCATTTTGGGCCGCGGGAGAAGGGTTGCGGTTGCGGATATACCAACACCTCTGGCGCACACTTCTAGACGAACAAACTCCCTAGTCTCAGCAACGGGTCTTTTCGAATCCATGTGCAAATCTTTGCTGCAGTGACCCTTTGGACAAAGGGGAAGCGTTTCTGGTCGATCCCACTTTGATGGCTTCGAAACCAGCCGAAAGGCCAGTTGGTGATTGCAAAGGTACGGACCAGAAAGACCAATACCACCTGAGCCAGCTGGGTCAACCACCTTTTTAACCAGCATTTACAAATCCAAAGCTGCATGCGGGTATTAGCTTTTTTAAGGGTACTTGAAGCAAAATCAGCAGGAAGCCACCCATTATAGGTGTTCATTTTTGCTACTTGGATGTGCTTTCTGCAAACAACCTCTTGTTGGTTTCCGTTGAGAGTCCGGTTGTTCAAAACACCATAGCCCATAGCAGCTGGACATAAACTTGACTCAACATGGGCCAAACATGCAAACCTAAAAATTGAAGGTCGCAACAAAGCTAAGCCCAACACTATCCATGTGCCATAGAGATCCATTCGGGGTCCAGTGCAGAATGGTTGAAGCACATCCTGGCTACAATTTCCGGGCTGCGCCAAAAAAAGTCCATGCCAGTAATCCTGTCAGTTGGCTTTCGGCACCCATTCACCGAAATGGGCCGGGATGTGTTTCAGTGGTCTACCGGGGTACGTTGGCGGCGTCCTTCGGCGTCTTTAAGACACCGGGGCCGGTTACGGCAAAAATTGTGGGGCTACTTGGATGTTCAACTTACTTTGTCAGTGCAACTCGATGTTAGGTGGATGGCACTTGATGGCTATATCACCATGACATATATCTCAACCAGCGATTCCCTATAAAGTGACAACCTTTCAAACTAAAAGGTGAATGGCTGGTCTCCTACTATAACGGGATCCACTAGATTGAACATCCAAGTAGTCCTGCCGCCAGCCGGGCGTTGTGACAGTGCAACTGCGCACCTAGCTTCGCCTTCGCTTGAGTCCAGGCGAACTCGTTTGGGTGCGAACTTGAATTCGGGACCCTTTGGTGGACATCGTTTAGCTTTGGATTTACGTACACCAACCACTGTTCACGTCCCATGAAGATTCATAGCCATGGCCCAGCCCTGGAAATATGGGCGCCATTTGTGTAGGGTGATTCGTGTCTGCAAATTTATCGGCAGAGTCCCTCGAAATGACAGACACAATGTTCCATGCATTTATGTCCATGCATCTTAGGGAACCAAATCAGTTGACGGTGATGCTAAACATGGACATCCATCCTTTCAGAATTGTTCAGAAGCCTTGACAAGGCCGTGGCCGGAAAAGACGGTATTCCATGGTGCGAGTCCCAGGTAACTTGTAGGATTGATCTTAACATGCGGCTTGCAATTGACAAGGCGGCCTCACTTCCCGATAGATTACATCCGTGACTGAATATATGGAAATCCCATATGTCTCTCCGTTCGTTTCCCTGTGGACAAGACCAGTTTTCCTTAAACAACCCAGAAAGAAACGTGTGGCCCCCCTCCCGGCTGTAACCTAAGGCATCCACCAGCAGTCAGTATTTTGCTTCCGGGCGGGGGGGGGGGGCAGCAGCTGATAAGCTGCCTCACTGCTGTGAACATCGGGCACAAGGGACATGTCATTTGATGCTGTTGACTTCAAAGCAAACTTAATCCAACATGCCAAACACTGCGCGTGAGTCCTTTAAGTGATCTTTCCAGGGTACAAGAAACCGCATGGAATTTACCTTGCTGTATGAAAAGCTCGCTTGCTTGATATTTAGGGAATCCACTGCAGTTCTGTCCGACTCTTTCCACAGCGCCGCATCTGCGCGCACATCACAGTGCCACAACAGGCTGGCTGGAAGGTGAGTGGTGTCGAAATTTCCCGAAGCTCCCGTGCGCTGGGAGTGGAGGGAATGAGCAAAGGTACGGTAGGGCATCACCTCACTCGCCTCCAAAAACAAACAAACTTATTGATTGTTTACCCCCTATATTGTCCTCCCAAAAAGTTCAAAGTCCAGAAGCCGGGAAATGAACAAATGGCATCACTGGGGCGACTTCTCTCGTCTCAATCCGCCCATCCCAAGACGCATCGCCAGTCGACGATGGGCGCGCGGAGCACTCAGGAAGCGGACGCCTCACCCAGGGTGCTGGGCCATAACTCTGCACAAAGTCTTGTAACTTGATGGTCTCAGGAAATCGTTCCAAAAAATCACGCACCCAATTTGCTGAAACCATCATGGGAACAAGGGGTTTATTGCTCCCAGGTTCCTGCTAAATCAAACACGCACTGCGGTTTTGAGTTGGCTCGGAACTCCTCTGAGAAAGCGATGGGCTAAGTTCAAGTTTGTTGTCAAAGCGAATGACCCCTATTTTATTTGGGGCAGACAATCAAAACACCATGACACCGCATGACGCAACTCATCCCCAGTTTTGAATCCGGGGCCAAATGAAAGGCGACGCAGAATTCCAAGGGTCAGCCCCCCTCCCAATTCTATGTTTGAGAGTTTAGCAGGTCCTGACCCCAAACCCCATTGCAAACAAAACATATCTAACTGCCATGGTTCCGGATCTTGGATTGTGTGTGTGTGAACAATGGCACTTGTTTGACACAGCTGGAAATTACACTACTGACACACGGGGTCATGACTCATAGCCCCTTAAGCATGGGGTTAATTCTACCCTTCATTTTGTATTGTCTTGACTCCATGTTTTCCATGAGTTTCTGTTTATTTTTCCACCCGGATGGGTTCTCCGTTCCCACAGTCCGTTCGCATCCCTCAATGGCCACCCGCAGCCAACCCGACGCTCAGCCTCGGGACTCAGCGATAGGTCATGGCCGCAGGTACCTCTCCGGATGGCTTCGCAAGTGGCTTCGGCGCTTGGGTCGATTCCTTCGGGGCGAAAGATTGCCGCGCTGGTGCTTTGTTTCTGTCAAACACCGATTCTTCCTCAGGTGCCCAACTTTGTTTCCGCACGCAACCAAAAAGACGAGCGCTCTTCCCAAGGGAATCCGCAAGGACATCTTCCCATTTCGAAGCAGTCGCTCTTTGGGGCTGCGCCCCGTTTCAAGGCTGAGCTGGTAGAAGCACCTGGACCTCCAATTGACGTTTTGTCAGCCCTTCTGCCTTTTTGTGTGCAAGAACAGATTGGGGCAATAGTAAATAGGGGGACTAGAAGGCTGAAACTGCGGGAACCATAGATGGCAAAACCAATGGAGATGCTAGAGGTGTCGACCACTTTAGCCAACCACTTCAAAAGCAGAACGAGTCATGTCAGGCCGAGAAGTGCAATTCCGCAAATTGTTTTGTAAGGAACTTTGATGCCGTCGCATGAATTTGAAAACAAATTGGAAACCGCGCCATCGGATTGTATAAATGTGGTCATCGTCAACGCGGTTCCTTTACTAAATACTGCTCTGGTGATTGTGGACGTGTCGACCGAATTTGCCTACAGACTAGGGCGACATCTACGTCAAAGCACTGGTGATGCTGCAGGCATCAACCAATTTAGTTTACGGACCAGAGCGACATCTACCTTCAGTATGCAGAAAACAACGGTGATGGTGGAAGTGTTGACCAGCCTAGTCCTTCGTCTTGGGTGATGCATTTTGTGTAAGATTCAACTTTTATTGCTGGGAACTTCTGGGAAAGCTTCATTCTGACTTTGAGTTGGCTTACCTCTTGCAATGATGCGGTGAATCCCCTTTGGGCACACCACAGGAAAGTAGCGAGCCGCACAGTACAGCTTATATTGCTTTCTTACATGGGTATACATGATGTAGCTATTGCTATTTACGTAACAAACTCCTGCCTCCATTCTGAGCTACTCATTCAAGTTGCCCGTCTAGACATCCTGTAACAGTGCCATGTTTTATATGGTTCAACTTCGCAATGAAAAGGCGAATAGCCGATTGTAGTACCGTGCTAGTAATCTCTCATGGATGGATGCATTTGATGGCACTATGGCCAAAAGCGGATTGTCTCCCAATCGTAAGTTTGGGACAAGTGGGATAGCAGAGGGGCCGGACATATCATCGTGCTTACGACCTGCACAAGGGCGGAAGTAGACGGCATTCCCTTTATGTCGGTAAGTAAGGACAATGATGAAACATGATGAAACCCTGTGGGGTGGACAATTTCGTTTTTCAAAGGCTGCACGTATGACCCCGGCTACTGTGGACGGACGAAATCCTGCACTACCTTGAAACCATGAAAAACCATTGTTTGTCTTTGTTTGCAGTGGAATCACCATTCCAGGGCTTCCTAGGTGCAGGATTTCGTCCATCCACAGTATGAACCGACACTTCGGGGGTGAAACGAGTTCTCACTTTCAGCCCAAAGAGCACTTGCCAGACGCCGCGCGGAGAGAAGCCGTGCGGCCTGGGACGGCGGGCCGGGGGCAGTGTTGGCCATGTGAGACTTAAGGGCCCGCAGAAAAACAGGTTGGGGGGGTGGGGGTCGGAAAAATGACTTGACCATGACATCCTCGAAACCCTCTGAATGGTGGTCAAGGGAACAAACACACAATTGTTGAGTTGCCCGCCGGATTGACTGGCCAAACAACAGGTCTCAAACTGTTTGGGCCACAGCCCCCCGACAAGGAGTTTCCCAACTCAACAGGCAAACTGCCTCTGAGACGCGGTGGTTTCCTTTGTGCGGCAATGCACAACTGCGAGTTCGATTGCGGTGACAACCAGCCCCAAGCAGTCTGGGCAAGCGTCATCGAGCAAACTAGGGCAATGGACCCGGCACAAAGTGTCACAGTCGGGCGAAGGCTGGAAGGAACTTCTGTAGGCCGCCCCAGCTCTGGCGCGGTTGACTTGGGAATGACCCAACTACCCAACAGTGCGTTTCAGCACTGCTGTATGAACCACGTGCTGGCGCCACCCCAACAAAGTGGCAGCATTGATTCTGCAAAGCTTCCCCCTTTGTGCTGCGGAAGGCGCAGTAGAGCTCCTTTACTGGCGAGCCACACAGCACTCTGCGTTGTTCGTATCAGCTGGGTCATGGGAGCTGCAGATTCAATCCGTCCAGGTCAGCAACTGGTTCATATCGTCCCCCCCCCCCAAAGGAGAACGGCTCTGCTGGATTCACACTTCGGACTTTAACGGAAAATGATGCATTTGAAGGGGAGCCCCTCTGATGGATGTACTCGGACAGATCCGAAATCGAAGTGACTCAATTTGATTCCGCATGAACAACAACAAGTTTAATCTATAGCCGGTGGTCCGCTTTGGACAAGGTTCCTACTTGTTTGGGAAACAATTTATCCAACTGTTATATTTCAGGGTCAACATGAGTCGATCAAAGTCGCAATCAAACATGAAATGCAGGCCCCCCAGAGAAGGAACCTGCTATCAAGTTGCTCGTGACAAAATCGCTCCTTGCTTGGCCTCATCCCTCGCAACCCCCAAGTGGGCAGGTCCAAGGGTAACGGCCCAAACTCTGACCTTGATCTCTCCAAATGGGTCATCTGGGCAGATTACAATTCACTCAAGTCCACTGGCAAGAAGCTACATATTTCCAGTAGTGATAATTTCCCCTTAAAACCAACAGTGGAAAACAATTCATTCCAGCAAATGGGTCAAATCCAAATCGTACCCCCAGTGAACATCCCAATCCCCACTAAAATAGGTCTAAAATGAGTGGTGAATTCACCTACCCCCAAAGTGGGATCCCAAACGGTTTGGACAACCACATCCATTTCAGCAAATGGAGGTAAAGGAATCCCCCTGGCAATCAGCCCCGAAGCTGCGGCGCTGGCTGAACGGGGTAGGGTGCCTGCGCCATAACCTGTGGCGCATACCTGGCAGCAATGCTCCTCTTGGAGCCACGGCACCCCCTCAAAAAGGTGGTTTTCCCGTTGATGTCCATCTTAAATCACACAAAAAAGGATAGCCTCGAAACAGACAGACCCATTGGCTTGGAACACATGGGTTGGCCAACAGGATTGCCAGCGCCCCTGAATCCAGGGGATCAATTTGTGGAGGCCCTCTGGCGGACATCAGAATTCGGTGGGTGATTTCATGTCCGCCAATCACTTCGGAGGGGACTCTTCATTACCAGCCATTTGTGGGGGTGTTCGCCATCGAAAATTATAGCCACGTGCTTGAGGAAACCAAGCCATGAGTTGGTCATGCTTCAACCCGTATGCGGTTGTTCGCGTTCTATGACCAGAACTCACCAACTTAGTTGCCTAAAGGAACGGGTCCAGAGTTCGATGGAAGAACATTCACGAATCAAGTCGGGCCTGCCTCGTGGCTTCCTCATAAAAGCTCGCATACAGTTGCAGACTTCAAAACTTTGTTTGGGGTATGTTGCTATACAACTGTTGAGCAAGGAGGTATTTACCATGACAAATACTATGTTGTTTGAATATACCGATAAAATGCGCTAAAACAAAGTGCTGCCGTTGTAAGTACCCCAGAAAGTGTTGAATCAGGTCTGTAACTTGCCTTTCGCTGGAAACATTGCGTTTTACTGAGTATCTTGCTTTGCCTTGCGCAGTCTCGCGTTTGTTTTGCGGGGAGAACCTTGGTCCGAGCACAATCTCAGAAATTATCCAACCTTTGGGCGCTTTTCAGCGTCACTGCTTGCTACGCTGAATTGGCTCCGCGCAGTTTGGCCATGGGACGCCAGACATCCGCAGGCAGACTTTTCAATATGTAGCACTGTAAGTGCCATGTCAGACCGATGTTTTGTTTGCGCAGTTTGCTATTTGCATTGGTCAGCGTTTTGCCGATGTCCATCTTGCAATGGCCCTTGGCGCCATCGATGTGCGCGCGACATGGAACCCCGCGAGCTTTGCATGTGTCTAGCCAATGCTGGTGCCAAGCGCAACCTACAGCTGGACCCAAAAACTGGAGCAACGCGGGTGTGCCAAAAACTGGAGCCGCACAGTGCAGCAGAATGCACAAAGGCAAGCAGAGAGCGCTCGAAGAGTCTGGAGGCCACCCAACATGAACTCCAAGGAAGTTGGCGCACAAACGCGATGCAAGCGCAGGCTGCAATGAGAGCGCAGAAACGGGCGGCAAGCGCAGGCTGCACGCAGCCAAGTCACCCGCCACCTCCCCCAACAGGGCTGCAAGCAGTGAAGTGTGAAGAAGGAACAAGTTGCTGAAACATGCCAAAACAAGCAGCTCAAATTAATTAATGGGACCCCTTTTTGGATGCTCCTTGTTAAACCACCCCCTGCCAGCAGCCTTGGCACATGCACGGGATTCGGCACCACAACAGGTCTTTGCACGTGGCCTGAGCGCAGGGGGCAGGCAGATCTCGAGCTGCCCGGTGTCCGTGGTAGGATAGAAAACACGAGCCCTTCTTGGGGTTCACCATTTCAAGCAGGGAGCCGTTAAAAACAGGAATGCTTTTCAGGGTCGACCATGTTTGGAGGTTTCGGAACCCAGCAAACAAATATGGGGAAACATGTGACATCCACCAAAACTGAGATTCGCTTCGCTTCCTATGGGGGCTTGGCCGTCTGAAGAAAATGGCAACAGCTAGTGCCAAAAATACCCTCGAAGAACACAACGGGTTGAGATAAGTTTCAGGTACACCCCAAACTATTCCCTCTGAGTCTCTTGCAAGAATCTGGCACACCAGCGAACAAGAAGGCTCCAGAGAGGCTCGCCGGCAAGTGAGGGGAACGAGGAAACCAACATTGGAAAATTGTGCCATCTACTTTCACCCAACTGTGCTGCAATCACCGCTGGATCATACTATTCGCTCATCATTTCACACCAAATGAATCTTGACCATGGTGCCTGTGCTTGACCTTGGGGCATTGCAGGTGCCCTCTTGTAGATCAGAAATGTAAACCTATGAACCAGGCGACCAACATGCAAGTAGTGGGGCACGCAATCGCTTTCCTTGGTCGAACAACTACGTTCATGAGGCAAGCACAGTGCCCAAAACCCTTTTTGTTGAGGGGATCGATGTCTTAAACGGGACACCCCATTGGTCGAGGCTTGTGAATCCTGGGTTGCCATTAGTTTCTGGCACAGGTCCAGTTTTCTCATTGGCAGCGAGAGCTTCCGGTCACAGGTCAGAAGAAAGCTTCATGCACCCAGAAGATACAACCTGTACTGCGCAACACATATTTCACAGCAGAGTTGGTAGAACCCATTTAGAACATTTCTTGGCTGCAAGATAACTACTGTTGAGCCCCACCATTGGTGCTTCAGAAATCTTTCGCAACCCGCAAGGGTTTCGCTGGGTGGCCCCAATATTGCAAGCAAGGAGACATGGATTCGAGCATGACTTAGTAACCCGCCCTGATTTCACATGTCAAGGGGGAGGGCCAGCACCATGGTCTGTATGGTTCCTTCCACTATGCCATGATGGCTGCCATGACCATGTTCAATGTGGACCCCACAGTCTGTAGGGGAGTTGACCCAGACAAAAAATCTCAGAACTCCCATGGACCATGCTTGACGAAAAATGGCCGTGGGTCAAAAATTGGGTAACCCCAAACTGGAGCCCTCCTAAATGGAGCCAAGGACGAAAAAAACCAACGCTTTTCCGGTGGTTTAATCTTGACCCATACCCAAATGGCTGTGGCTCAAAAGACCGGTACCAAAATGGAACCCGGTAAGTGGAAACATGGACCAAAACCTGCGTAACCCCTGCTGTTTCATTTTGAGCCATACCCAAATGAACACCTGTGCCAGTCAGCTTTCCCTTTGATTCCATGGGGGCCCCGCCGGCATGCGCAGGCGCCATCGGCATTGGCATCCCATAAGTCCTAGAGAGAAGCTGATGGGACCAGAGGCGACAAAGCAGATCCATATATAATTTTTTCCGGAGCCCCGCATCTTCACTTCCTAAGAAACTGGTTCAACTGGCGCCCCAGTTCTGTGCTCGTCTTTTTCGGGGCCCAGCGTCTTGGCTTCCTGAGAAACTGGCAAAGGAACAGAAATGGGTCAGGTTCCCCCCCGTAAGATCAAACTAAACCAGCAGAACATGGGAAGGGGCATAAGAAGATTTCCTGGTGCTGCTTCACTCAACTTGCTGGTTCGGTAGGCAGGTAATGACCCCGAATTGCACCATCCCTTGTGGTTCCTTGCTGCGGAAATTTCTGTAGGTTCATTCCCCAGACCCATCTGCTGGATTCCCTAGTGAGAACCGACCGGGGCTTAACCTCCCAATTTCATGCTGACCTGGGATTCAACCTGGTGGATTGGCAGGGCGTCCCCAAAAAAAGTGAAGGGGCTTCAACCTCCGCAAGTTCAACCAGTCAGCCTTTTCCCCCTCGATGAAGGAAAGCCTTCAGCGCCCCACCTGGAGTCTCCATCTGACCCGAAGTAAAAATGGGTCCATGACCCCATGATTCTGGGTAATGACCAACCATGTTTTAAGGGGAAGGAGACTCCAGGTAAGTTTGAGGTCCCACGTCGACACACACCAAGTGGGTGCCCTTTTCAACAAGACCAATGGGACCCCGTCCTTGGGGACATCGGTGCGGCGAAGCTCCGCGGGGACACTGCAGCCATGTTCCTGGGGCTTAGGCCCTACCCAGTGCTTCAAGGCAAGCCACGATAACCAGGGGAAACCGGCACCTACCTTCCCACAAACTGGCGCAAAGTCCCTTTCCAAGAGAGAAGTAGTCTTTCTACAGGGTCTCTGCACTTCCTTGTTAGTTGGTGGGAGAGTAAAACATAGTAAGAAATCCTGGTCTATGGCGTGTGTACTCTTCAGTGGCGTTCTGGCATAGGCACAAAGCACAGAGCTAAAAATATGAAGACCCTCCCCAATTGACATGGAGCCTGACGTTCCGGGAGTCCTGGAAGACCATTTTCCTTTTGAAGGGACCCCCGAACGTCAGGTTCCACGTTACTTGGTGGGAGAGTATTTGCTTTCTTGAGGGTGAGCTTGTAGTGCTTCAATGGTTGTCAGCTCTCAATACCAAAGGTCAGCTGGTAAATGAGATATTAAACCTTGCCCAGAAGCAAACTTGAAGCTTTCTGGAAAGAAGAGGATACATGGGCTGTAACAAATACGCTCAACTATGCTACAAACATGACTGTCCACTCGCGCAAGCGAAGCGAAACAAGTCAAACCTGCAGCACCATGTCCTTGCAGCTGGCAGCTCTTTAGCTCCGTCCAAGGCAAATGTGGAGTCGCCCCAGCTTAAGGGCTCCCTGTCAAGCACCTAAAGCAATTTCAAGCCGAAGCTTGAATCATGCAAACAAGGCAAGACAAAGCAACACAATAACCTTTTGACCCTGGATCCTACCAGGAGTCTCCTTCTGACCTTTGAACAAATGGACACATTACCCAACAGAATGGGGGGCCATGGACCCATTTTTCAAGGGTCAGAAGGAGACTCCAGGTAGGCCCGAGTCTGGAGACCCCAAACCCTCAGCTGCATTGCTCTGCGGCGAAGCTCTGAGATCCCGGGCCCGGAGAAGTTCCGATGCACCAGGGCAGGGGATCCTCCGCCTCAAACCGCTTCTCTGGGGAGTTGGGCGGGGGGCGGGGGGGATTGGAGGGGGGGTGGTGCCATGGGGCACACACTACACAGAAAGTAAGATGTTCATACTCTAAATAGTTTTTGTCAACCCTAAACATAGAAACAAATGAAGGAGATTTCCATCGTTCGACCCTAAATCTAGAACCCACGCTTCAGGTTGACCTAGAATTGGGGCAGTCCTTGAATGGGGTTCGGGGTTCGGCGGGGTTCCTTTATCCTTGACCAACCCCACAGCATCAGCAACAAAGACACTTCCAACTCTCGATGTGTGCAATTGTCAGGTTTGCTTTCAGGCCTGCAAGTTCCCAGTGCCAAGTCTGAATTGAATTTGAGGAGCCTCACCCTTCTGCCCCTTTCTCGGATCCACACCCTGCCCTATTTGGTGTCGGGATTCGACCGCGCCACCTGCGACGAAAAGTCGCGTGCCCCAGGTCGGGTGATGCTTGGCCGCAGGCGGCCGCAGCGGAACAACATGCCCAAGAGGGGTGCAAATCTTATTGGGTTTTGTGTTGCTTGTCTTTTTGATATATGCAAAACCCGACCCAATGCGAGTTGTTTCTTCTTCTTTTTTTAACAACTCAGGTTTTTTCTCCGAAGACCTGTCGCAAGCTGTTCGCTGAGCCCTGGGCCCAGTGAATACGTGGAGTCCTGACAAGCGCTGAATGCTCACCCGGCTTTTACTGCGAAGTCCGGGAGGGGTCCGGGATTCATTTAGCAGGCCTGGTCGTTTGCTAGATGGCATGTTTGAGGTATGGGGATACCATTCAGCAGGGTGGGGCAAGTTAAACAATGGAGGGTTTAAAAGGGGTGGGCCACAACCCGCTCAGCAGGCCAAGTGCTTGGCGGGTTTGAAAGGATGAAAACATGTTTCAGGTATCTGGATACATATTGCCTTTAAAGGACCTGAGAGCCCATATGAACCTATGTTGCCGCCGGACACTGATGTCACTGAAGGCGACGACATCTAGAGAAACTGCCCCGAACCCTTGAAAGGTTCCCTTGAATGGAACCAGCGACAACATCCTTGACCCAAATCCTCAGAAACATGGAAGGGCAACTGGCGATTGGAAACCTTCAAATCCTTTCCTCGTTGGCGATCCGTGGTGAAAAAAAGCGCTAGCCCCTGCAAAAGGTGCAATCCGTCCAACCTGAAACCAGCCAGGTTAAACTGTAGGCCACATATGCTGCACATTTGTGTCCTGGCGAGTGACTTCTCGGGCGCTACCAGGTGAAGGGGAATGCACCTCGGCCGCAAAACGAGCCGGATGCCCCGCTTTCTCAAAGTACAGGGGCAAACCGTGGTATGCACTGCTTTTCGACTCAGGGGTTCTTGCCATTATGTGGGTATTTGCAGTTGGAGTTTCCTGACATTTTGACCAAAGTGACTGGCTCTATTTGGCGGTTCGTTGCTCCCTCTTCAGTCTTGCTGGATATGTCATGAATCATTATCTAAAAGCCTAAGCATATGATATATTTCTGGGAAGCGCCTGGTCTAGGCTCAACTTTAGAATAGGAACATCAATGCGAGACCCTGTGGTAAACATCATTTATGGAGGGAATCCCATGATCATCATGCCGAAATCGGAAATTCCTTAGTTGGTTGCCAAGCCACACCCCTTCCGAAAAGACTTTTGGCCACGGGGTGGAATTTCAGCTCAAGCTTTTGGGACCCCAACCAAGACTGGCCTCGCAGGAAAAATGAAAGATCAAAAGGTCCGTTCGCTTTGACTTTGAGGAAGGATGTGAACAAGGACCGCAGCAAGAGTTGAATTTCTGTGATTCAGATCAGACGTAAAGTTCTCCCTGACTTCCCCTCAAAAGAAAAAGGTGGTCTCCTCAAAAACCAACTCCCAATCTTGATCTGCACAACTTGCACAAAACTTTCACTTGGAACAAGAGAACCACGAGTAACGGCCATTCTCCATGGGAAAGCTCTTTTTACCAACATTTTGCCCAGTTGTTAAAGCAACCTCCATTTGGTCCCCCTTCAATGGGGGACCAGTGGCTACTTTCTTGGTGTCTTCACATGCAAAGAAAAAGGGAAGCCGAAATCCAGTTTGCGGGTCCCCCCCCAAAAAAAAACAAGGAAAGAAGAGACACAGCCAGTTGAAGCCAAGGCGCCGCTGCCGCCGGGAGCCTCGGGCGCTTGGACCAACCCGCTTCATATCCCTCATCCACCTTTGATGACACAACCACCCCATGGCTTTCCTTGTGAAAGGGGTCTCTGGCCAAGGATGACGCCCTTTTCTGGCTAAAGGACCTGGGAAGCCGTAGCCCAAAACTGGAACACCAAGAGATGAAAACGTCAGGTTTGGGCGGTTGGCCCTGTCCCGCTCGGGAAACCCGCCCCATGTTCCCCGCAACAAAAACCGTCTGAAACAAGGCGAGGTGACCGTGGTCTGCTGTTTGGTTCCGTAGATGGACAAGTTTGGCATGCCGCGAGATACTTGAATCGGTTCTTCCCGAGCAAAAGGTCTCACCCTTTGTAGGTTTGATTGAAATGCCAATTTGTGTGAAAAAGATCTAAGGGGCTAGGGACACAGCAAAGACCAAACATGCTGAACTTATTGAATAGACCCAGGCTACAAGGGCAATGATGTAAACAGCACCTGCTGATGTCAAACAGGAATTCCTGTCGCCTAGTCTATCCTTTTGAGCTCAACTGTATGAAAGGATTCCCTGCCCTTTCCCCCTGCCCCATCGAAAGCCTCAGAGTAGACATTTCTCGTTAAGCCCAGGCACCAACTCCCCAACCGATTGAATGCTTTCGAAAAGGCGGATTGGGTTGAAAGGAAAACCCACTCCTCATCGGCCCTGTTTGAGTGTTGCTTTAACAATTGGTAGATCTTGGCCTCACGTCACACACGAAAAAGAAAGCTTCACGTTCAGGGACCTTCAAACCAATCCAGTGGTCTAGAGGTTTGATTCGAACATGGCTCGCTTGCAATAATCAACCGCTTGGCTGGTCTCCAGGAGACCCCCGAAATGGGCAACACAGGTGAACTCGCCTTGGCGGCCGGTGTCCAAACTCATCCGAAAACGGAGGCTGATTGAAAATCAGGGACTTCACCCACTGGTTGCAAGCGAACATAAGGGAGAACGCAAAAGGGCGCAAAGTGAAACAGGTAAGCATAGCAAGCCAAGTGCTGCAATGCAGGAAATCCTTGTTTGGCCCCAAAGCCCGGACGAGGTCTGGACTGCTGCACCCATTGCCGTCGCCTTGGCCGTACGGGCCACCAAGCCCTGGTGAATTTGTTTAACTACACGAATTACCTGAATGGGTGTTTTGTTTTTTAAGTTTTAGGAGATACCGAAATGGGCATGAATTTGAGTACCGGGGAACCCTTTGGTGCAGATCTTTTAGGGGATGTATGTTTATGTACGCCAGCTATTTGGGACTCCCCCTTAAACATCCCAGCCCCATTGAAAATAAGGACTCCTCATCAGGGACCTTCATGGGTTACGAGCTCGTTTTTACCCCAGGTGCTGGTCTGGGTTTCATGAGAAATGGAAACACTTCCACTTGCTTAAGCACATTGGAAAAAGTACGTCCTTCAGTGATTCCCTTTAAAGCCAACAAGGGAAAATAGAACATATTCTTGAGCAAATGGAAAAGCCAATTGTGTCCAAAAGGATCTAAGACTAAGGGGTTAAGGTCCAAAGACCAGCCGAAAGAGCAGCCAAGTTTCCAAGTTTCTTGGAGGTTTGGTCATTTCAAGTCTTGGAGCCAGCCTGTGGACACAAGCCTCACAAAAGGAACTGTCGTCAACGGATGCCAACATTTGTGTCAAAGGGTCCCGGTGCTACCTCATGGATTCCTTGATCCGGCAAAACGAGTTGCCAAGCCTGTCTGCCAACTGGTCTGTACGCCCCACAGGCCCCTGCTATCACCTTGGCCAAAAGGGAAAATAAGGAAGGCTCAAAAGGGCAAACGGGCAGACAAGGTAAAGTCTGGCAATCAAATCATTCCTAACAGTGTCTTCATCCTTGAGCCTCTGGGGGGGCGTACAAAACATGCGAAACAAGCTTCTCCAAGTCAACAAGAGGAATCCCCTGGCCAACTATGCAATTGAG